AAGACTTAAATCAAGTGCGCAATGAATATCAAATATCACAAGGATACACATAAATCAATCTAAACATATAACTTATTCACAATTCATAGACTAATACATAATTCTAAATATATACATCATGGTTACAAGACCATCTAACCAACACATGCAAGCTTAACTAAAAAGAAAATATTTTTATATTTATTTGAAAATTTTCATTTTTGACATAACAAGCACACAAAAGGAGTAAAAAGTGCTAACTCGATATTTTCCCCACCCTCAAAATTATAATAGACATTGTCCTCAATGTCTCAAAATATAACAATATATAAAAAATAAAAAATAAAAAGTAAGAGAGAAAAGAAGGAATATAACAACTCCAGGAATATGAGTCTGAAGAAGGTGGTTGACATAGAATGAGCAGCCCTTAGCTAGAAGGTCCTGATAATGTAGGAGGTGGTGGAGCATGCATCATCATGTCATACATGTCATCAACTTTGCATGTTTCCTCAAGGTCATGTAATGGCTTTTATGCTGAGCTGTTGATATCTTAAGTGTCTTGACTTATTGGGCCTATACGCTCAACCAGTTTCAAAGATGAAATATGTTGAAATCATCGTATAACTCTTACATGTCCAACTTTTTGATTTCTTAATTGTTGTTTGTGCCTAATAATTAATTGAAAAGTGTATATATGAAGGCTACTTGAATTCAAGTAGTACTTGACATATATAGTGTTGGGAATCTACTTATACATGCACAGCAGAAAATTAAAATTATTTCGATTCCCATCGAGGATTCATTTATGGTTAGATAGAAATCGTGATAAAGATTGTATATTTGAAGAATTCTGGAAACATTTTGCTTTTCTTTTCGTTCCAACAATCTTGATTCACCACCCACAGCTATCCAATTGTCCAACCTCCAACGGTGATCCACACAGAGAACAAGATTGCAGCTACTAAGGTTTTCTCTTATTGTGCTAGCAAGAATAATTATGAGAATGAAAATCATATGGAATGAAAACCCTAGCAATGTATTTATATAAGTCCAAACGAGCCAGGCCCGGTCTGGTCCAATATTTAATTAATCCATTTAATTAAATTCGGTTCGTGAATTAATTAATCCAATTAATTAATTCGGGCCTATAAATAACCAACCCAATTAATTAATTTATCCAACGTTTGTTGAATTAATTAATTGACAAATTGTAATCTTCCAATTCTCTTTTGTGTGTGACCCATCAGGTTCCCGATCACGATACCGAATGACGTGAAATATTATTTTGATTTAATCAAAATTGATAAATTAAAACACCATTTTTAATTTATCGTCAATTCACACTTGCCGTCCTAGATTGATATTGAGCAATATGTCAGGGCAATATATGTGACGGAAAATGTCATGTGGTATGACAAAACCAAACTCGTTCGTATATCGTGAAACTTTAATCCCTTCGTCAATATGATCCGATCAATTACGAGATATGAAATTGTGTCAATCTCGAATATCGATCATATCTTTCACTCCACTATTAAGTCAATATAAGTCGAAAATTCATTTTCGACTTATGAGTACACCTTGGCCAAGGATTTCGTTATCGACTTAATTGAATGAAACACCGATCATAATCTCCTACTATGTAAGAGTGACGAATCCTTTATTTATCAATCACAACCTTCATACGATTCTTGACGTACCAAAACGATGTCGTATTAGCGGCCCTTTGCGGAGCAATATCCAACACCGCCAAAGTATGACTGTCCTCATATAAGGTATCATGATGACCTCAAGTCTAAAGACCAATTCCACTACCGAACGTTAGAGATTAATGACTGACACTCAGATAGTTATCCATGTGGAATCTCTCGACGGGTCTCCAATGTTTTGTTCTATAACAAAACATCAACGTGTCATTTAAGTGTCACCACACTTTAACTTGTGAGATCAGCTACTTACTTTACAAGTAAGAAATGTCACATGTGATGGTCTATCCGTAATAACGATATTCATATCTCGTTATTACTTATGACCACGGACGATTTAATATTCAATCAAATATAATTTGTATCTCATAATCACAACTCCTTGTGATTAATAATTACGAAGATTTGAATATACAGACTCTATTATTTATTTAATTGTCTATTAATTAAATAATAGATCTGCCATTAAATTACATTAATTATATAAAAGTATTTATGTCCAAAGTTGATTGGACCTAGGGCATAATACTTACATATAGTTCTATAACGATTTAATATTCAATCAAATATAATTTGTATCTCATAATCACAACTCCTTGTGATTAATAATTACGAAGATTTGAATATACAGACTCTATTATTTATTTAATTGTCTATTAATTAAATAATAGATCTGCCATTAAATTACATTAATTATATAAAAGTATTTATGTCCAAAGTTGATTGGACCTAGGGCATAATACTTACATATAGTTCTATAAAAAAAAATGTGTAATTTGATACAGCGATTCCAAACCTTTTAAAAGTGAGGCATCAGGTTCCAAACTTTCTAATGTTAAACACTTACGTCTCAAAACTTTTCATAAATATGTGATGAAGTACCTCTGAATGTTTTCTGTCCAAATGATCGTTAGTTGACCATCATTTAACCAAAATGTTGAAGGGTAAAAAAGCTGGCCCTCAAATTTCCACTTAGAGCAATTTAAAAAAGATAATAATATTGAAAGAAAAATTTCTTCATCTTTTCCCCAACCCCTTCGAGCCACCCGTCCTACCGCACCAAAACCTGCAACATCGTCCCCACCCTTATGAATGCAGCTATCCAATGCATAGATATCTCTATCACCATCCAAATTTGCAAACCTCACTATTTTCACCAACTCAAGATATGGATATTGGACTTCATGTATTAACGAGTGGGAATCGTCGAGGGTCCTTTTATTGAGTATGGAAAGAAAAAGCAGTTTCTAATCGTACCAAGTCAGTAATGTTTAGTTTAGTTTTACACATTTGGGTTTGGAATTTTCTAATTTGTTGGTGATAGTAGTTATGTTCATTGGGAGCGGGCTAGAATGGTGGTGGTTGGTGGTTGCGAAATGTGTGGAGGATGATGAAAATTTTATATTTTATATTTTGTATATATATATTTAAAAAAGGGCTAAATGTTTATAAGTTAATTATCCCATGAAATTTGTAGATGAAATATATCTACTTAAATTAGGGCTAACAACTTGCCAAACATGATATAAATGGAAGGACAAATGGATATCTAAGTCTAAGCCCTGTTTGACACCCATTATTTCAAAAATTAACTACTTTTGAATAGTATTTTGAAGAATGTGTGATGTGTGATTAAAAAGTAAGAAATTTTTTATTGATTTGTGTGTTAAAATATTTTAGGGTTCGTTTGATTGCAAAAAAGGAATTTGAGTAGAAAGAAAATGAATTATAGAGAATTGAATTGCCTAAAAATTGTTTTCTTGAAAATTGTAAATTATTGTGTTTAATTGGTATAATTTTACACCTGAAAAATGTTGAAATAAAGCATTTTTTGTTGTTCGTTTGACTTTATTTTACATGAAAATTGTTAATTAAAAGGATATAATATACTGTTATTGGGGATGAAATTTGTTTCCATGGGTAAGTTTTTTTCAAGAAAATCATCTATCTTTTTGTATTCGTTTGACTCTGCTTTACATGTAAATTATCAATTAAAGGAAAATATCTTTTTACAATAATTATTATAATTTGTTTCGATTGTAAAAAATAAAAATAAAAAAAGGCCAAAGTAGCCGTAAATTGGATTGGTGAGAATTTCAATTCAAGGAAAAGCTGGAAATTGGCTTATGTGACAAGAAAGTTGAAATATGAATTCCAGGGAAAATTTTGTCTATCAAACACCCTTAAAATTGAAGTTGGAATTGATTTTTCATTTTCTAAAAACAATTTTCATGTATCAAACGATGCCTTATTATATGAATGTATGGTGAAAAATGATATTATAATAAATAATTTAAATTTTTTAAAGGTTTGAACAAGGGTTAAATTTGTAGTAGGTGGGTTGAAGTAAGATGTCATTCACGTCATTTAAATAGTGGCTACAATTTGTAGAAGAGGCCTAGGGGCGAGCCCAATGGGGATTCCATAGGGTCACTTGACCCTCCAATCCTTTTTTATACCCTTAATTTTCGTGCTCATTATGAAATACGAAACGAAGCTGTAATATTATATTCTTAATATCATTTTGAGGTACCCGGGACCTAATATTTCACGTCGTTAATGGTGTGCGAAATGGTCAATCGTAGCAAATGTTATAACGTGTCCAAGTAGGTTGTTCCAAACTAATATTTCAAGAATTTCGATAATAAACTAACTTTAAAATTTTTTCGACAATTATACGCTAGCCGTATCAATAAGTCTTCTATATCCTCTCGAAACTCATTTCGAAAACTATATCATAAATATATCGAATGATCTAAATGAATGTCGAAAATAGTTAAATGTACGTCAAACGTGTATACCAAAAAGAGACGTATAACTTGTCTTTTTTGAAAACAAATCAATTATTTTATTAATATTTATTATTTTTGCACGACAAATTTCTCAATAAAATTTACATCAATTTATTAGGAAATTTTATATTTGGTATGACGTCAAAATTTAAATCTTTTTTGGACGTAAAAATTCTTAATAAAATTTTATTACTTCATAGGGGTTATAAATTGTTATACTACATTTTTCATCTTGATTATTTTTATATTTAAAAAAAATTATATATAAAAAAATCAATTATTTTTAGGATTTTTTTTATTATTGTTACATTTTTCTCTCGATTAATTATTTTTTTTTTCAAATGACGTCAAAAAATTTATTAAGAAATTTATTAGATTATTTAAAAAAATTAATTGATTGAGAGGAAAAATTAATAATAAAAAAATCTAAAAATGATTGAATTTTTTTTTATATATAAAAAATTTTACATGTAAAAATAATAAGATGAAAATATAGTATAACAATTTATAAGTAATAAAAAAAATTTCGTCACTAGATTGTCTGCGTCCGCGCTCAGAGGCCTGTTTCACATTGTCGTTCCAATTGGATCTCTCCTCACAAATTGTCTTTCATCACTTCTCCCACGCAATTCCACAATCAATCATAATTGCTAAACGTCCTTCAACAACGTAGATCAACCGCAACTGCCATCCTCTCCAGGTATTCTAAATTATTGTTTTTTCTTAACTGAATTTTTACACGGATTATAAATGCCCGCTGTTGTTCTTTTTATTCTGATTCATTATCAGTGAATATACTGAATTTCAAAAACAACTCAAGAGGAGGATTACTTGGTCAGATGCTTAGTGAACAATTAAGCCCTTTGAGCCCCATTTTCTGTGAATAGATTTTGTAAAAAGTAATATTTATTTGGAGGATGCATGGTTAAAAATAAGGAAACTTTTTGGATTTAAGTGCATAATTGTTTTATTGGACGGAATCTGTGATTTAAAATGACTTCTAAAGAATGTGGTTCAGAAAAATGGCTAAAGATTCTCTTTAAAAGTCCTGAAAAAAATATTATGCCCTTGTTTGAGCCCCATTTTGATGGGAAAAATGAATTTTTGAATAGTATATTGATGTGAAATGTGCTGTTAAAAAATAATAAAATGTTTTGGATTTACGTGTAATATTATTTTATTGAAAAATGTGTGGTTAAAATTATGTCAAAACAACGTTGAAGAATTCATTTTCTTCAAAGAATGGGGATCAAACAAGGGCTATAACAAAATAATTAAGAAATAAATAGGAAAGCAAATGCTTACACTTGATCTAGAAATAATAATCTATTTTTATCGATTGTACTCCAGAATTGGTACTGAAAATTGAGTAAGAAATTGATCTGGTCATTGCTCAGTTGCATTGAAGCAGTTAAGAATCATTGACAGCCATGGTGAAACCCAAAATTGCCCCATCTATGCTGTCATCGGACTTTGCAAATTTGGCTTCGGAGGCGGAGCGTATGCTCCAGTGTGGTGCTGATTGGCTCCACATGGACATCATGGTACTTTCTAGCCACTAGCTATCATCATGGATTGCTATTCCATTATGTACATTTTTATGCTTAATCTGTTTGCTGTAGTTGCTAAGGGTCCAAAGTTTTTTTGATTAAAAGTTGCCTTTTTAGTTTTTAGTAACATTTTGTCTTCGTGGCATATTTGGATAACTTAGTTTTTGCTTTTAAGTTAAAGAAAGTTAACTTTTTTAAAATGACTTGTGTTTCCATTGTAATACTAATTTTTCTTCGACTTTCACCAACAAGAAAAAGTTCTTGTTTTGAACTTACTTATTTGCTTATAAGTAAAATTTGTAAGCTTAAAACATACTCCTGGTTGCTTTAGATTTTCCAATAGATGTAGATCTAGCAATGAACTAATGGAGTAGATATTTATGTATTATGGATAAGAATGCAAATGGTATCCTCACTATGCAAGTGATATCCTGTGTTTTTAGGGAAACGCATTAAATATGAAATGATTGGATGAATAGGCTAGACACTCATTTTAGATCCTGGAGTGTGGAGGACGGAGGTGATTTGATTGTATGTTGTTGCTTCTGTAAATAATTATAAATGTTTTCAATAACTAAACATCTATTTTGTTACCGATACTATAGTTTGTTTAAATATGGTTTCATATTTTTTCTAATTAAATTTCTAATGCATTTTCGAACAATTTATTGATAATCTGTACTGAAATTATAATTTCTTTTATATATTTGAAATGTCCATTTAGCTTTCAATGGATGTGAACTAGATCTTTTGGACACTTTATAGCGATAATAGCCCAAAAGTTTCGAGACATAAGGAAAAAATTAAACATCTATTTTGTTACCGATACTATAGTTTGTTTAAATATGGTTTCATATTTTTTCTAATTAAATTTCTAATGCATTTTCGAACAATTTATTGATAATCTGTACTGAAATTATAATTTCTTTTATATATTTGAAATGTCCATTTAGCTTTCAATGGATGTGAACTAGATCTTTTGGACACTTTATAGCGATAATAGCCCAAAAGTTTCGAGACATAAGGAAAAAGATGAATGATGTATCATTACAAATATTTAGCATACATAGAAGGGGAGAGTATATAGTTATGATGTGTGTCTTCTCTCAAGGTTTTTGCAATATCGGTGAGCTTGTATGTGCTATTGGTCTTAATGTTATCATTTATCCTTGCACGATTCTATATTGCAATTGTTGCGAACTTAATATGAGAAGCTATTTGCTTTGATGCTTGAGATTTTGAAATGTAATAGAAATTTGAATTGGTTCATTGCAGGATGGG